ATTTATGTTTTTGGTTGGTGCTCCAAAGACTATTCAATCAAATACTACATATGTTTCTCAATTTTTCATTTTTAGGATCTAAACGTCTTTTTCTAACTTAGATTCCATATGGATATAGCAAACCGGACATACTAATTTGGTCCTTTTAGCGGTATATTTTTGTCGTTGGTTACCAATCAAACCTGGTATAAAAAATACAATTGTCACCAAATTAATGCGGTTAGGTAAATTTAATTTATTAGAAATTAAGAAAAAAAAATAACGAACAAAATTTTCCTCACACACAAAAAAAAAAAGAAAAAGAAAAAACCCTGACTCTCTCTCTATAAGTCAATCCCCTTCCCCTAGTTCTCCTCTCTTTTCAAGCTTTTCACAGAAACCACCCTTCTCTCTCTACTGCCTTTTACCACTGAGAAGAGAAGAGGGAGAGAGAGAGGATCCGTCGGTGTGTACTAATCTCACTGACACTACATCCGATCGTCGCCGGTAAGTTGATTTCGTTACCTTCCGATCAATTTCTTAACCGGCCAGATGAACTTGTTTTCCGTTCGAAATTCTGACTTGAACTTGTTGTCAATTCCTCAAACGCTTTCTCTTCAATTATCTTACTGCTTCGTTGCTGATCTCTACTTGTTTTCCTCCGTTTTGCATTTTCCAGTGGCGTTTCTTAGTGTTTCACTAGATTTAGACTGGTTTTGCTTGTGTGCATTTTGTCGTCTGTGTTTATGATTGCTCTCTTTAGCTCCATGTTTCTCTGGATTCAATAAAATATGAGTTCGCTGCTCTGGATTTTGTTTTATTTTTCGGATTTGTTTGCTCTAACGAGTTAAGCTGGTTTGTTTGGTTGTTCATTTTCATAATCTGTCCAAAGAATCGAATCACAGTAGCTCGGATCTGAGAGTGAACTTGGTTCTATCGTGTGATTATATATTTCCGTTAATAAATTGACTAAGAAATCTTAACTAGTTTGTTTATTATTAACTGTCTAATTATATAGTTTATACTATATTTAACCTTGCCGATATATTCACGATTAACATCGAATCAAACATGTGCAAAAAGTCACTGGAAATCCTTGACTCCTAATTAATGATCACTAAAATCGTTTTTTTTTTCTTTTCTTTCTGAGTCTAGCTAGTAGTTTAAAAAAAATAAAAAATAAAAAAATTGGTTGTGGTTAGGTTTGGAATTTACACTGTAGATATAAATGTTGTACGGAAGTTTAAGAATTCCAATGAAACATGTTAGAATTAGATAGTAAATGCTACTACAAACAACACAGTATTTTCGATGAAACATATGTTAGATAGTAAATGCTATACAACAAAACATTAATGTATATAGTTCGTAAACAAGAATTATACCAATGGACTTAAGATTTGTCAACTAAAGAATATAAACATTGGAAATTATTACTATGTTGAAAGTTTTTTTTTTCAGGATTATGATAAATTTATGAAAACTATAATATTGAAATGTAAAACCAGTATATTTTTTTAGATTTAGAAAGAAAAAAAATATGTGCACCAAAAAATACTCCAATTTGAAATCAAGTTAAATACTGTAATAAGATATTTCATATTAAATGATTGATTTAAATTCACCCTTCTACGTACACTGCAGCGGCATGCAGCTTTCTCCAAGCTTTAGTAAAAGCTAACATAAATATGCATATCTATGTATTCTAAAGTTCTATGTAAAAGCTAGCCTCCTAAAACCTAGAGTCTATAGACCATCATGATGACATGGCTCATAGAGGATTAAGAACAAAAAACAACAAGTAATATAATAATCCCGGCAAAGAACAAAATACAAGTTAAGAGATTTTGATTGAATAAACCTTTCTAGGCTTAACCGACATTTACCTTTTTCCATATCTACTATTTTATCTGCTGAAAAATTAATCCAAACTAAAATTTTACCGTTTTAACTAAAATTTTACCTTGGTTGCGGCGACGATGATGATTTGTTAAAGAAATCTAGGGTCTCATGACAACGAATCAACGATGACAATTTTATCTAGGTCTAGATTTGTGTTAGAATTTAGAACGATAACCATTTTTGCATTCTTTGACAAAAAAAACCATTTGCATTTTTTTCTCCTATTTAATTTAAATTCTAGTGATGGAAGGAAGGGCTCGTAAAAGTACAAGTTGACTGAACAAAGACCCTACCCTGAAAAAGTGAGAAGTTTATTATGTGAACTTTAGGGCTTCTTTTTTTTTTTTTTTTTTTTTTTTTATTTTGGAGAAAGAAACAACGGTAAAGAGAGATGACGTAACAAACTAATTTGACAGCTAAGTTTTTTTATATTGACAACTAATTTGACAGATAGTGGGAACTTTATAAAAAAAATATGGACGAATAGCAAAAATGACAGACTACGAACTTGATGAGGTAGTAGATTCCTGAAAAGTGAAAAAGATGGACTGAGAACAAAAATGATGTGGCTACTCATTTAGTTGTCACATTAGTTAAGACTTCCCTAAATTATGACACATTTTTTTATTATAACCATGTTATTTTTTTATTGTAACATGTCATGAATCATGATATTTATATTTAAATACACAGCTTATTATTTTTAATATAATATTTTATTGTGTATTTATAGCTCTTTATTCTGGTTATATTTACCATGATAAAATCAAAAATTTTAAAACCGAAATTTTTTTATATTATTTTTAATATAAAATTTTATTGTGTATTTATAGCTTTTTAATATAATCTAATATTCGCTAATTTTAAAACCGAAAAAACCCACAAAAACCCGTCATTAACCCGCAACCCAGTGAACCGGTTGAACCGGCTGGATATGGGAAAAATATCATTTGATTTTGGAGTAAAATATAGAGTTTTAGACTCTATTCGGTCATTTTAAGAATTTTTTTAAGTTCTTAGACTCATTTAATGTTTTAGATTTTAATGAAACTTCACATTACCGTCTAAGAAGAATGAATGGAATGGTGAGAGAAATAACCGAGATTAGTTGCTTTGAATTCACGATGTTTTCTTAGTTTATTTCTGCCATTCGCGATCTCTTACTATTTTAATATTTGTTACGGTTTTAGAATTTTAAGTTGGATTTAAAAACTTAATTTGAATCACTTTCTTATTATTGTTAGACTTCATATTTTGTAATATAATATGAATATTTTTTATTTTTATATTTATAAAAACTGTATAATGTTTATAAATATTATATATATTAAATAAATTTTTAATCAATTGACCCGTGGTCGAATCCGGTTGACCCAGTGACCCGGTGACCCAGAAGGTAGTCCGATTCACCGTCCGGATCGGGTTTAAAAACACTGACAAAAACTTTTTTTTGCAAATCTTGAGCTTCATAAAGCTTCCTTGAAAATTCTCATTAAGAATTTCATTTGGGTATCTATCAAGATCCGACATAAAAAGTAAGTTTAATTTTTTTCCCAAATCATTTGGTGATTTGTTGATTGGGTATAAACATATATATATATATATATTTTAAATATATATGTAGAGGCTACACATACAGAGAGCCCTCTACTGTAAGAATAATTTCGATCGTCACAATTATTTTAAAATTAATTGAGAATTTTAAATTCTGGATAATATCATCAAAAATCATTTAAAAGCCAATGTGATTTTTCTGTTTGTGAAGAAAAAAACTATTCCCTTCATTTTTTTTGTTCGTACATAAAAATTTAGATTAAGATCTACATTAATTTTCAGAATTTACTGTTACAAACAGTTATATGAAATCTATTCAATAAAAATAATAAGACCGATGAAAATCAACTACTACTTATTTTGACTAACTCAAGTTACACAACTACTTTTTCTGTTTAAATCTAGAAACTTCGTAAACAAAAATTAACACTTTTTGTTCTCTGTAAATTTAACAGTTAATAACTAAAATTTTGTCAAAAAATAGTATTATTTATATTATGGGTGTGATTGGTGACATGAGTTAATATGTGGTATCATTGAAGTAGAAAGATAACTCAAAAATGTTACCAATCATGATTTGTTTTTAAAAATTTGCATTAGAGGTTGAAGTTTGTTGAGTTATTAATGACTTACATTTTTGAGTTATCTTCTTTGTAAAATTGTTAAATCAAAACTTAACTCAAAAACATGTAAATTCTCATGAGTTAGGATGTGGTAAGTTGAGTTATAATTTTTTATTTTTAGAAAAACGAAAATTAGTTTTAAATTAGAAGAAAATGTCTTAAATTAATTTGAATAATGAGAAAAGTTGTTATTATTATCTTAAATTTATTCAATAAAATTTCACAAAAAATAGATAGTTAAATTTCTTAATTTTCTTAATATCTTTCAATTTTTAATTTTTTTATTATTTAATTATCAAAAACTATTTATAGGATTATATTTAATATTGATGAAATTTTAAATATGCTATGAAATGTAAGTCATTAGTTTTATAACTATTATGTAACATAAATATTTTTCAAATTAACTATTTTTAGTATTATTTTATTTTATTATTTAATTTGTAAGAAATATTATTAATATTATTGATATTTAATTTAATTAGTTTTAATAACATATACTACAACTTTTAAAGCACAAGAGTTACCAATCACTTGTATTGATCAAACTGATAACTCATATTTCTACAGTAAATTACTACATCATTCTATAATTTATACCACATAATTTTGACTGCAAATTATATCAAATTATAACATCGACTGCAATTCAATCTTATATCTTGTTCACACAACACATCAAGCTCCAAAGTAGCTCTGCAACTGCAAATTTAACCCCAAAGTCACTGCCACAATTAAAGAAAGCAAAGCTAACACGAGTCCGGCGAGTTTTGAATCCTCCTTCTATGGCATGATTTTCATTTCTTCTTCCGTTTTCCACGGGAAGACACTTCCCTTCTCTTCTTTATCTTCTCTCAAATTCTTCAGTTCCTTCTCGAAATCATTGATCTTGATTTGAGCTTAAAAGAAGAGAAGAGACAAATTAGTGTTTCAGTAGTGAGATCTAATTCTCTTCATATGTTTTTCTCTATAGAGTAGCAATTAGAACTTCAATCTTCAATTTCATTTCCATTACCATTGTTTCCGATTCACAAAGTTGACTTTTTTGTCTTTGGTTTAAGCTTTAGTCACTTATTTCCAAACACAAATGCTACAGAGTTTTATTAGCTTCTTCCAATATTCTTCAGTTGGGTGTACTAAAGTTTTGAAATTTCTTTGTTTTAACATTGAAAGTTTATGTTTTGATCTATGATGATGAATGTGTTATAACTCTGTATCTGTTTATGTCGATTCTATGTGGTTGTTGCCCTCTTTTAGAATGTGTTTACTGTCTTGGTTGTGCTCGTTGGGGTTATAAACGTTGTCTCAAATCATTCAAGATCTTATTTATTCTTTTGATTCCTTCTATAGACTCTTCTTCCTCAAATCTTATATTTTTCCACATTTTATGTAGGATGGATGGGCGTGCGAATAATGCGTTCACCGTGGACGTTACATGCTTTTCTCAGGCTGTAGAGTTTTACACCAATTTGTTTGCGGCAACCCCGACTCGTCGTCCTCGTGCTCGTCAGGTCGAGCTCAAGCTATCGCACTCTTCCACCGCAGTCTTTCATACCGGAGCACCGTTTCCCACGTAAAATCTTGACTCAGCTTTTATTTATTTTATCAAAATTAATATAATTGTCGTTGACTCATTTGTTTTATTTTATTCATGAGTGCTGGGATCATTATTGAAACTCCTAACTTGGATGCTGCCATCGATACAATCGTGAATGTCGGAGCGGTGGTTGACTTAGAAGCGCTCGAAGCTCCCAATGGGTACAAATTCAGGGATCGATACGGCTTTAACTGGACTCTTAGAGAGACTGAGACAGTGATGGCTTCTGCTCAGCTTTGTAAACTGGTACCATTCTTTAATTTTTCTTAATTTGTTGCATTAATTTAAATATGTGGCAAGAAGGCCAATCTATTACACATAAACCATCCTAAGTTTCCCATTACAATTAGATATAACCAAAATCAAAATCAAACTATAACATTACCGTATCTAAACTATAACCGTATAATACGGTTTGAAACCTTAACCATTAACCATGGATAAAATTATATTAACTGTAATTTTTAATTAACCGTAACCTTCAATACTTTTAACCGTAATTCTTTTTGAAACATAATAAAATATACTAATAATTAGTTATTAAATCATATGATATAGAAATATGAGTACAGTAGATACAAAATGATATTTTCTAACAAATATTTATAATGTTACAGCACAACCTTTTTATAATAATTAAAGAAAAAAAAATATCGTTGAGATCATTCACGAATACAAAGTGACAAAAGGCCCGAGCATAATATCCAAACCAGAAGAACCGACCCGAAAAAACAGACCCGAATCCGAACCCAAAGTTTAAAATATCCGAACGGGTTCTAAACTTCACAATCCGAAAACTCGAATACGAACCCGATCCGGACCCGAACCCGAACAAATACCCGAACATACCCGAATTATAAGAACGTAGTTATAATATATTAGTAATATTTATATTTGTAATAACCTAAGTGCCTAAATTATTCGGATGTTAAGATATTTTCGGATGTTTTACCTACTTCTGGCTAGATTTGGCTAGAAAATACTTGGGTTTTATAGATTTTTTGAGTATTTTCAATACTTTGCATATAATCGGATACAAAATTTTGGATATTTGGATACTTCGAGTAAACCCGAATCAAAACCCGAAATACCTAATCCGAACCCAAAATTTAAAAATATCCGAAAAAGTCTTAGTTTTCTAAACTCAAAAAAACTCGAATTAGAAAAACCCGACCCGAATATCCGAACGTCCAAGCGCAGACAAAACCAAAAAATTGTATATGCAGGCGTATATTAGAAATTTAATTAATTTTTAAAATGTTGTTACTTTCAAAATAAATGTTAGATTATAGAAAAGGTTATTTAGTTTTGTTTCTAAAAAAAAAAAAAAAAGCCGTTTGTTTAAAATTTTATAATGTCATGCATAGGGGTGTCAAAATGGTTAACCCAACTCAACTCAACTCATTACCCAATGAGTTTAGAGTTAAATGAGTTCATGGGTTGACTCAACTCATTTAGCCAAATGAATTGAGTCAACCTATGAACTCATTTAATTGGATGGGTTAGAAGGTTAAATGGGTTGACCCATTAAATATTAATGTAATAATAAACTAATAATAAAAATATAATAATAATAATAATCATCATCATCAACATCACTATTATTTGGCGGAAAAATTACGGATTTACATTTTTGGCGGGAAAATTACACATTCTCGTTTTTGGTTAAAAATTATAAATTTTTGGCAGGGAAATCACGGATTTACGTTTTTGGCGGGAAAATTATGAATTTACTTTTTTGGCGGAAAAATTTTACATTCTCATTTTTGGTTAAAAATTATAAAAAATTTTTGCGGGAAAATCAATGATTTATGTTTTTGCCGGGAAAATCACAGATTTACGTTTTTGGCGCAAAAATTACGGATTTACGTTTTTGGCGGGAAAGTTTTACATTCTCATTTTTGGTTAAAAATTATTAAAAATTTTAGCGTGAAAATCACGTATTTACGTTTTTGGCGGGAAAATCACGGATTTACGTTTTTGGCGGGAAAATTACGGATTTACGTTTTTGGCGGGAAAATTTTACATTCTCATTTTTGGTTAAAAATTATAAAAAAAATTTGGCGGGAAAATCACGGATTTACGTTTTTGGCGGGAAAATTACATATTTTCGTTTTTGGTTAAAATTATAATTTTTTTTGGCGGAAAAATCAATGATTTACGTTTTTGGCGGGAAAACTGCGGATTTACGTTATTGGCGGGAAAATCACGAATTTATATATTGATGGGAAAATTGTGTATTCATATTTTTGGCGGGAAAATTAAGGACTATATTCAATCGGTTTATAATTTTTGGTTAGACTCAAATTAAAACCGGTTTAGAGATTTGAATTGGTTTGATTCAATTTAACAAAAATTGATGGGTTAAATGGGTAAACCATTGACCCATTACAACCCAACTCATTTGATCCATCAACCCATTTGACTCAATAACTCATTTGATCCATCAACTCATTTGAGTCAAAATTTTCAACTCATTAGGGTTCATGGGTTGAGTTGAGTTGGATTGACCCATGAATCTTGACCCATTTTGACACCCCTTATCATGCAAATGTATGTAAAAATGAACTTTCAATCAGAAATATAAAATAATTTTAAATATTGATGTTGTTATTTGAATCACATGATAACACTAAATTTATATTATAATTTGTAACATTATCATAATAAGTATTAGTTTGTATATCATCGCTTAAATTAATTACGGAAGTTATAAAAAATTATGGGTCCATCACTAATATCAACCATATCATATCATCAAAACCAGTAACCGTATATGAACCATAACTATATTTAACTGTAATCATATATCAAACGGTTACGGTTAAAAGTTAAACAAACTTTATATATTTAACCGTAACCGTATATCTAAACGATTACGGTTAAACAAAATTTAAAACCGTAACCGGTGATTAATAAACTTTACCGTGTTATTGAACCCATAATAAGAGAAAACCCAAACTGAAATGTAAAATCAAAATCGTAAATTAAAGCTCAAACCTAGTTTCGAGCCGTTTGTTTAAAATTTTATTGTTTCATGCAAATGTATGTAAGAACCCTTCAATGAGAAATATAAAATAATTTTAAATAATAATGTTGTTATTTAAATCAAATGATAACACTAAATTCATATTATATAAATCAGTAATAAGTTATATCGTCACTTAGATTATTTACAGAAGTGATAAGAATTTAAGGGTCCATCACTAATATCAACCATATCATATCATAAAAAAATCGTAACCGTATCTAATCATAACCGCTTTAACCAGAACCATATTAAACTATAACCGTATATCAAACGGTCAAGATTAAACAAAATATATGAATTTGACTGTAACCGTATATGGTTAAGGTTAAACAAAATTTATAACTTTATCCATGGTTAATAAACTGTAACTGTGGGCATGCCTCATTACGATAATAATTGAACTCATAATAAGAGAAAGTCCAAACTGAAATATAAAACCCTAATCGTAAATTAAAGCCCACCCCTTTGAAAGGTTAAGCGAAGATGAAGGATAATTTTGCCGACTAACCATTCTTTTGGCATCATTATTCATTTAGTGTCACTACGGAGCATCATCTGGTATAATCACTGCGCACCTTCTAGATTTGTGTTTGGACCCCAAAACTTTGGAGTGGATGAATCTTCACAATACACTTTTCTCGAGTTGTGTTAAACCTCGTCTTTGGTATTCACTTGACAAGGTAATGTTTTGTATAATTTATTATTATTTTTTATGTAATTTATGTATAAACTGATGAGACCCTAAACTGATTCATTTTGTTTGTTTTTTTTTCTTTTCTCTCTACAGAAATCGACGAGATTAGAAAATTATCATACTTATTTTCATAAAAACAGACTCGTTGAGTACTATAGTTCTCGATATCCTCCTCATGCCTGTCTCGCTGAATTAACTAAACTAGTAAGTGATATTTCTTTTATGTTGTTTACTTTGGATTTTAGTTGGGTTTTGATTGATTGGTTACTAATTCTTTTTCTTTCTTTTTTTTTGGTTTTTCTATTCAGATGATGCGGTTGATCGCGGTTCTCAGGTGGGCGCAAGTGGCATTTTGCGTTCACCCGATATTGAACGCTCTTGCGGAAAATGAGCCCGACCGTTACGAGAAAGCAGTGGAGCGTTACGATAACCTTTTCAACCGCCTTCCAAGATCTGTACAGAAACGGGAAAATTGGTCTAATCTCACTGAGCTTCGAAAGCAAGCAGTCGATAGTGTTACAGATCTACTTGGGTGGCTCCAATCTATGATTTGGAGTCTTGACGATAATAAGGCGATGCCTGCCAATATTGCCATGTACAACGTAATTGCGCAGGAAATGATGTTTTGGGAGCAGCAAGCAAGTCTTTAATTATTTCTCCCTATGTTTCTTTAAATTGTATGTTTTCTAGATTTTCAGACATGGATTTTAGGATTGTTTCCACTTAATAACTCTCTTGCATACTGTTTCAGACATGGATGTTAGTTTGAGTATTATCGGTCTTGACTTGAGGCAATGTTTATTATGCTGGAAAACTTACATATGCTTTTTGATATATTTCCGTAGAGCCAAAGAAAGCAAACACCAAACCGGAACAAATGAAATCTATTATTGTCTCTAATGATGATCTCACGAGAAGTTATCTGTGAGATTAACTTAGCTGCAACATGACAATCTCCACATATCCTAAGATTCTTCGTTATTCTTATGGCGTTATTACTGTCTTCTGCTTCTTCCTTTGTGTTCATCAAAACAAACACAATGGCTAATTTCTCACCATGAACAGCTAAATGCGTCTCTTTATCTTCTACATTATGAATCGGGGAACATACCCTAACTCTTTCATTTTCTTTACTAGAACATCCAGCTCTCTGTAAATCTCATTGGATTGCGGGTGTGACCTGTCGCCTACTAAGAATGTATGAATTTCTCTGTTCACCTCAACATTGCTTGCTCCGGGATTCTTCTTCAACCCTTTGCTCTTCATTATGTTTCTGATGTTAGTCTCTTCTTCCCATCTTCCAGCCTTTGCGTATATGTTAGAAAGCAATACGTAGTAACCCGATTGCTAACTGGAAAAGTTTATCAGCTGCTAGTAGACCGATGTCTGTGTCAGAATGCACCTTGCAAGCTCCCCAAACTCTCTCGTTTGGTTCCATTGACATTCTTGTATGAATTTGTAAGCTTCTTTCATTTTCCCGGCTCGGCCAAGAAGATCCACCATACAAGCCAAATGCTCTAACCTAGGAGTGATCTTGTAATGATCTGTCATGAGTTTGAAACAACTCCTACCTTCTTCTAGTAATCCTGCGTGGCTACAAGCAGCGAGCGTTGTGACAAACGCAATTGAATCAGGGACGAGACCCGAATCTTGCATTTTCGAAAACAATGCCACTGCGTCACAGCCTCTTCCGCTGAATCCATAAGCTGAAATCATAGCTGTCCAAGACACAACATCACGTGACTTCATGTTCTCAAACACATCTCTCGCTCTGTCTAAACATCCGCATTTCGCATACATATCAATCAGTGCATTCTCTAACAACAGATTCGGTATCAGCTTCTTTCTCTCAATGTATCCATGGATTTTCTTACCAAGAGACAGAGCAGATGTATCTCCACAAGCAGGTAACACACTTGTGATCGAGACTGCATCAGGTTCGAACCCATCAGCCTCCATTCCGGAATACAACTCCACGGCTTCAACAGGCATCGCGTTTTTCATATACACACCGATCATCACATTCCATGAAACCAAACTCTTTTTCCCCATTTTAAAAAACATATCTTTAACATACATAACGTTTTCAGTTGTAGTGTTACTCACTGCTGGTAACAGACTAGCCATGGTGCCAGCATCGTGGCTTATCTTCACAGATTCCATTTCCCTACAAACTTCCAAAGCATCATCAAATCTCTGATTTTGCGCATACCCAGCAACTAACGAGTTCCAAGAGACCACATCTCTCCTAGACATCTCATCAAGTACAAGCCTTGCTTCAGATAAAAATCCACACTTTCCATACATAGAAACTAAACCATTCCCAACAAACAAAGTCGAAGAGAGCCCAACTTTTGTAGCAGACCCATGAATTTTCTTCCCAATGACAATATTCCCAGAGCAAGAACATGCCTTTAGAACACACGGGAAAGTGTAATGATCAGGTTTAACATGACAACTACACATCGTCACAAACACTTGAATACCTTCACGGTAAAACCCATTATTAACATAGCTTCTGATCATAACATTAATGATAATTACGTTTCTCTCAGGAATTTCGTCGAACACCTTACATTGATGCGTTTCATGAGATTTGCGTGGAATCAAACCTCATCAGTCATCACCATCATCAACGGTTTATATATAGTTAAACCGGATCAGACCGGTCTCACATGCGCAATTTGTTTTTTTTTTTTCTTTTTTTTTTTAATTTCATGTTTTAACAACATAAATCATCTTTGATCTTTGTAGTCACAAAGTTCACAGTAAAATTTGCAGAGACAGTGATAAGTGATGTTAATGTAAAACTCCTCTTGATGTTTATGTGAATTTTATATGAATCTAGCTCATATAATTTTTAAATGGGTTTAGATTTTTTAGGATTATTTTCCTTTAAAAATATACATAGTTTTTTAATTTTAATCAAGGACTTTTTGATTGTATAGATAGAAATATTGTTTTTTTTTTTTTTTTGTACTTCTTATTAAAAAATTGAAATCAAAGATTTAATCTTTACCTTAACTCTTTTAGACATTATTGAACTTGTTTCACTTTTTTGAGAGATAGACATATCATCTAAACAATAATCTATACTATATAAAAGTCGAGGCTATAAGCTCCTGAGGCCGTCCACCTAGGATTTTAAACGACCAATCGTGGTTGGACATCTCATTAATTAGCATTTTTAGCTATCATATTAGTTAACATTTTTTAATTATAATATTTTCTATATTAAGATATTTATGAAAAGGAAAAAACAATATATATGTAAAGAAGAGAAATGTCAAATGTTGAAAAAAAAACATATGAAATTTTTTGGGTTTAAAATGAAAAGGAAAAGGCTAATAATGAAAATGAAAAATTCTACTTAACAAAAAAAAAAAAGGAAAAAAAAAAGAAGATTTCTAAATGCTAAAGTATTGGTTTTATGTATAAATATCGTTCTATAATTTAGAATGGAATACAGAAAGAGAATACTTTATATTCTTGAAAAAAAAAGAGCTTAAAGAAGAGGGTCTAAGTTTTAAGGATGAGCGAGATGTTATTTTTGACTCTGACCATCATACTGAAGAAGCAGTTCGACCTCAGTTTGTAGAAACCTTTGAAGAATAAGATCTAGGTTTTGACTTTGGGGATGAACAAGAGTTTAACTTTACCTATGAAAAAGCAGTTCCATATCAGCTTAGAGAAGTTTTTTTTTTTTTTTTGAAACAAAAGCTTGGAGAAGTTGTTCCATTCTACGGGTTGTCGGCGCTTATTGGTTGAGAACGATGTTAGTTTTGACTTTGATAATCAAATAGTGATGTCGTCTGGGAGAATGACATGTGAACTATTTGTTTGGAAGAGTTTGACGATGGAACAACCAAACAAGTATTGTGACTTTACCGTGTGGACACGAGTTTGACGAGGAGTGTTATAGAGTGGTGTGTGCAGTGGCGGATCTAGAACAAAAATTTAGAGGGGCGATCAATATTTATGTTTTATGTAAATATATATATATATATATATATATACATATATATAATAATAATAAAATAATAAAAAAATATTGAATATATTTTTTGCTTTGTTATTTTATTTATGATAAATAAATTCATTATACTATATAAGAAAAAGTAAAATAGATACATCATTTCTATTAAAAATCATTTGAGTTTAAATGAATCAAAGAGTAATATTTAAAAGTTAGGATTTTAAATTAACATATTTAGTTTGATTTAAAATTTATATTTACTAGATTTTTAGTTTTTTACTAAAAACAATTTTATAGAAAACTCAAACATTTAGAAAACAACACATAAAAAAATAAAAAGAAACCAATTATCATAACTATGAACCGTCAAAGTTATGGGTTGAGACAAATTTTTAAGAATTAATAATACAAAAGGAAAGAAATATTATGGTCTAGGCATTTAGATAATGTTGTTAATTCCATTTGATTTAAATTTGTAACTAATTTAGCTCAATTAAAGGGGCAAAGAGATAAGTAATATTCTTTTTTTTTTTGTCATGAGATAAGTAATATTCATTTACCTTTTTTAGTTAAAGTCAATTTGGTTAATTGGAAAACATAAATTTAAGGGTGGCAAGAAAGATTTTTTATAGGTAGAATCTAAAATATACAAAATTTGTAGAATCTTAAAAAAAGTTGAGTAGTGATTTTATTGGGATTTTAGTCGACCAATCTCGATTTGCCATCTTACTAATTTACATTTTTTGTCATCTCATTAATTAACATTTTTTGAATTCTACTATTTTCTATATTAATATTTATAAAAAGGAAAGAAAAAATAATATACATGTAAAGAAGAACAATGTAAAATTTTTAAAAACAACTTATGAAAATAAAAAAAATGTCAAATTTAGTTATTAGATATATAAAAAAATAATTTCAGAATTTGAATTAAGAAAATTTAAACAAGTCAAATGTAAACTTCTTGAAAATATCATATGAGAATAAGAAAAATCTCAAATTTAGTCAGGAGAATATATATAAAAAAAATAGAATCCATAATTAGAATTAGTAAAATATCTTCATTCTTAAAGAATGTAGTTAATTGGAATTGGAAAGATCTTAAAAGAAAAAAAAATTAAGAAAAACATTATAAGAAAAATGTCAAATTTAGTTATTAGTACATATAAAATGCAATTCATACTTAGAATCAGGAAAATTTAAAGAAGAAATTTGTAAACTTCTTAAGAACATCATATAAAAAATAAGAAAAAACTCAAATTTAGTTATTAGGATATATCATGATTCTTAAATAATATAGTTAATTGGAATTGGAAAGAACTTAGAAGACAGAAAAATTATGAAATAATTTATGTAAAAGCTTTTAAAAAAACTTAATATTAGATGAAGAAATATTTTTAATTCTAAGGTAGTGATTGAGGGTATTTTAGATAATTTTTGTCGGATATTACTCCCTCCGTTCTTTTATAAGTGATGTTTTAGCATAATGCACATAGATTAAGAAATCATTTAATTTTTGTTTATTTCTAAACTAAAACATCATTTATTATCTAATCAACCAATAAAAAAAACAATCTACGGAATATAAATCGTCAAAACCAATAAAAAAGTAATTAATTTTGTATTGAAAGCTGAAAACATCATCTATTTAAGAACAAAACTATAAGCTTTAAACATCACTTATTAAAGAACGGAGGGAGTATTGTTAATAGGAAAGTATTATAATTTATAACAAAAATGTCAAATTTAGTTATTAGTATATATATAAAAAAAAAGTTCATAATTAGAATTAGGAAAATAAAAATTTAAACTTCTTCAAAACACCACATGAAAAATAAGAAAAATC